AGAGAAAATGCACTGTAGATTCTGTATTGGTGTCTGTAAAGGAGATGCTTAGATCAGGTTTCTTCAACGGGAGGTCTATGTCCACAGGGGGTCTGCAGAAGAACCGCAGGGGACCCTGCAAATACTGTTTGATCTTTTTGGGGGAAAAATAAAAACATGTCTGAAACAAAAATGTTCATTCCTGAAAATGTATTTATTAAGTACATAAAAAATTTAATTTAATGTAACATTGCTAACTTACACCAATATCAGTTAGCTGGCAGAATATTAATTTGTATAACGGTGGCATTTTTTCTAATGATTGATTGATTGATTCAATTCACGTTTTTTTTTTTTTCTATTGTGCTTTTACAATGTAAATTGTGTCAAAGCAGCTTCACATAGCACTTGCAGTAAATTGAAACGGTCTGTCCAGTTGTCAGAGTTGAAATTTAGTTCAGTTCAATTCAGTGTGGTTTCAATTTCACTGCTGAAAGTCTAAACACTGAAGAGCAAATTCATCAATGCACAGCTTCACAAGTCCCAAACCAAGCAAGCAAGTGGCGACAGCGGTGAGAAACAAACTTCACCAATTGACAAAAGTGAAGGAAAAAAAATTTTGATGGCAGGGGAGATAATAATTCAGGGGGGCTTCAACTGTATTTAAACCACTTTAGTTTAAGTTCCAATTTTCACTGTTCCCAAAAAAAATTATGTGATCAATTAGTCCTGACAGCATGATTTTAGGTGATTTTAGCTTATTAAACTATAAGTTAATCATGCTCTAACTTAAGTTTTATAACCTACGCAAGCTGTTTTAAGTCAGTTTAACATAATAAATGTTCAATGGGTTCAGACGGTTAAGTTGATTCAACTTGAAAAAAAATAAGGCTTATTATCTGCCTATTTTTGAAATACCACATTTTTTTGTGATTGATTTATTAGTACTTATTAGTACAGTCTGCAGGATCTTATTCTGCATCCCTAAAACCTAACTACTACCTTAATAACTAATAATAATTGAATAATCAGCAAATTAGGAGTTTATTGGGGCAAAAGTAGTTAACGTATGTGTTAATAGGGAAAATTGGATCTTAAAATAAAGTGTGATATATAATAAAAAAAAATGTATTACATATTTACACCAATAGTGGTAATTAGTGAGCGTAAATAGGAGTGAGCTAACAGCTAATTAATCATTAAGTCAACCACTTCATTCACGCACAGATTAATTTAGAATTTAAGCAAATTACTATCTTAATGATTGACTCGTTAATCCATTTATTGAATGATTTGATAATAATAGACACATATGAGTCGTTAAAACGTTCCTTTTTCTTACCTAAAAAACTTAACTATAAAATGATCAAACTAATCCTGACTACCATTTTAACAACTTTTAATGATTTAATAATCAGTTAAATTAAGAGTTTATTAGGACAAAAGTTAATGGATTTGTTATTGGATGAATTGCATCTTAAAACAAAGTGTGATCATGTATTATTATTTCTCAAAGTGTGACCATTACATTTATTTATTTATTGCATATTTACACCAGTAGGTGGCAAATGGTGACTGTAATTAGGAGTGAGCTAATAGCTAATAAATCATTAAGTCTATTACTTCATTCAAACATAATGATTAATTCAGGAATTAAGCAGATTACTATCTTAATGATTGACTCATTGATTCATTCTTTGAAATGATTTAATAATAAGCACAAATGAGTCGTTAAAATGTTCAATTTTCTAACTTAAAACTTAGCTAACAAAAAGACTTAGTTTCAACTATAAATAACTAACACAAACTACAATAATAACTTTAATATCCACGTGTTTATTGAACTAATGTATAAAGCAGTCATGCTGACCTTACAAAAACATCACAGAAACATTTCTTTCTTTCTTTCTTTCTTTCTTTCTTTCTTTCTTTCTTTCTTTCTTTCTTTCTTTCTTTCTTTCTTTCTTTCTTTCTTTCTTTCTTTCTTTCTTTCTTTCTTTCTTTCTTTCTTTCTTTATTTATTTATTTATTTATTTATTTATTTATTTAATGATGATGATGATGATGATGATGATGATGATGATAATAATAATAATAAAAAATAATAATAACATTATTATTATTATTATTATTATTTAAATTATGTGCTATGTCTCTAGTTCCACTAAAAGCTTTAGAACGAACTGCAACAGAGATAATGACTGATTAATGACTTAGCTTTTGATTAAAAGTATTATGTATCACATTTGTTACAGAGTGAATCTTCTATTACTTGGACGGCCTTCTTTATTATAGGCTTAAGTGAAGGTTTCTTTTTAATTACTTCTTGCCGCTGTTGAATAGAACAGGCTGCACTTTTCCAGTGTCTAGTCTGAAAATGCTTGCTTTGTATTTGGAGTTAAGCTACTAATTAGAGTTTCCACAGACTTTCTGTTCTAAGCCCTGCCAATTGAGATGCTTTGTTCACAGAGGTAGATTTGTCTCAATTTGTTCAAAGTGCCCTCATTACCCTGCAACGGGAGTCATTATATATTCTGCCTTATTACGATAACATCTTCCCCTAACGACCATACCATCACGGCTTTAAAAGGTCTGCTCTCTCTGGTGCTCCTTGTATTTAGCTAAGATTGGTGGGAGTGGGAACCTGAGGTGGGAACTGCAGTGGCTGTTATTAAGTAAGGTGGGCATTCGCTGAGGATCTCCAGTGATTATGGTTAACTCTGATGCTCTTAAATGAAAAAGTGAGCATTGGCTACATTATACTGTATCATAGAGATGATTATTTAAAAAAAAAAGACAAACGGTAAGGAATACATTTACTCTTTTTTTAGCATGTTATTTATTGTTATTTCTTTGTTTATTATTATTATTAGTTTAAATTGAAGCCGAGTTTGTGTTGTGAATCTAAGGAATTGTAAGATGACTTCACCACAAAATGGAAATGCGTTTATTAGTTATTACACCTCGAGTCATTCCAAATGCATAAGACTTTTATCTTCAGAACAGAAATGATGTCATTTTACAGTATTTTTTTATTAGATAATAATAATAATAATGAATAATAGGCATCACGGTGGCACAGTGGGTAGCACAATCGCCTCACAGCAAGAAGGTCGCTGGTTTGAACCCCAACTGGATCAGTTGCCATTTTTGTGTGGAGTTTGCATGTTCTTCCCGTACTCACGTGGGTTTCCTCTGGGTGCTCTGGTTTCCCCACAGTCCAAAGACATCAGGTACAGATTAATTAAATAAACCAAATTGGCCGTACTGTATGAGTGTGTGTTTTAATGTAAGAGTGGGTGTTTACTGGGGTTGGATTGCGGATGGTGGTGACGTGACGCAGTGGTGCAGTAGGTAGTTCTGTCGCCGTGACGAAGTGGCGCAGTAAGTTCTGTCGTCTCACAGCAAGAAGGTCGCTGGTCAAGCCTCAGCTGGGTCAGTTGGCGTTTCTGTGTGGAGTTTGCATGTTCTCCGGTTTCTCCCAGTCAAAAGACATGCGGTACAGGTGAATTGGGTAAGCTATATTGTTCGTAGTGTATGAGTGTGTATGGATGCTTCCTAGAGATGGGTTGTAGCTGGAAGGGCATCTGCTGCGTAAAACATATGTTGGATAAGTTGGCGGTTCATTCCGCTGTGGCGACCCCTGATTAATAAAGGGACTAAGTCGAAAAGAAAATGAATAATTTCATTTCATTTTATTTCATTTCTTATATTAAATATGACCTTAAAGTGTTACCTTTAAAATATTGATTGAATTATTGTTTAAAATGTTAGCTACATTTAGCAAAATAATAAACTAATACAATAAACCTGTTAAGTTGAAAAGAAAATGAATGAATAAATGAAAATTATTATTATTATAAATAATATTAATAATAATAATAATAAAATCTGCATGAATTAAGTGATATATTCCATAAGACCGTATAATTTTAAAGTTATTCTATTATGTACAAACTAGTATTTTTAGATTTGTATTAAGGCTGCCTTATTTGATTCATATGTTTATTTGTCACATGTTTAATGGTCTCACTAAGCAAAAAATGCCTTTGTTTTACAAGAGTGAGCTTATTCTACTGCAAGAAAAACTTAATAAATTTACACCTATCTGTTTATCACATTCAAGTGAAAAAAGTAACACTAAACAGCACTCCGAAGTCAAATTTGTTGATATATCAGATAAAAAATTGAGCTACTGAAAGATTCCCACCACTAGTAAACATTGTGTGTTGATCATTATTAATATTTAAATAAAAGTCTAAATCAAATCTTTATTTCATAAAGCAGACTTGACTTTTCAAAAGACTTGAATTAAATACTTGCACATATTAAATGCAATTTGCATAATTTCCAAACACTGACAAATCATGTTTCAAGTTGGCTTTGTTGAAGGAAACATTGGCCACTTCATTTAAAAAAAAAGGAAAAACAAAACTTGGAATGTGAAGGCAGTATTTTTGTCTTGAAGCTGAAATCACAGTAGCGGAACTATGAATCCATTTATCACAGCACTCCACTTCTCCGGCAGCCCGGTGATTTCACACTCTTAAAATATATTAGACAATAAAAGGTCACTGGTTTGCACCTTCATCATGACCACTGCCCATTCATATTTCATAGTAATGATAAATATTTGGATGTTTCAAGTTCTCCTGAAAGGGAAAAAAAAAATCATCACCCAATGCAATTTTCCAGCCACACAACCGAAACCAAGGTCACAGCGATGGAGTTCATCTGTTCACTGTTTAGCCATCAGTGCTGTTGTTTACGCTCGCTGCTCTGTAAAGCTTTTCCCTTTAGCTGGATTTATGATGGTGGAGAAAAAAAAACAAAGAATAATCATTTTCTACTCTGCATTACTTACCTCTTTGATATCCAGGTGTTGACCTGGGAATGTCAGTTTCTGTGTATTTGAGGACTTCAATATCAATCAGAATATTATATGCTTTTTTTTTTGTTTGGCTATAGATGCCAGTAATTGTTTGCAGTATCACTGACGTGGCTTTTTCTATGTTCATCAGGGAGGAACTGATGATTTCCTCATCATTTGACAGTCTGGAGGTGCTGCTGGACTCATTTGGCCCTGTGAGAGACTGTTCAAAAGACAACGGAGGTTGCAGCCGAAATTTCCGCTGTATTTCTGATCGCAAGCTTGACTCCACTGGCTGTGTGGTAAGTTGTCTTTACCTGCTTTTGACTAATGTTTTAGGTCCATAATTCAAAAAGACATTTTAAAGATTATATATTGGAATTGATCATTTCATAAATGTAACATTCGCCACTAGAGAGTGCATTCTCTCAAAACACAAAGCTATAGTTTGATGACGCCATCACTGCGTGTGGAATCATAGGAGTTGTCATCTTTATTACATTTTACAGTATGGGACTACTGCAGAAATCATGTTCATTGATGAGCTAAAGTATTCTTATTGTCATTATAGTATGAAGACGAGTAAAGGCTCAATGATTTTTGCTCCCGCTTGTCATCAGTATTTTTCTAGACTGTTCACTGGTGATGAGCAAAGTGAACATGCAAAGTCACTCCCTGACTTTAAATATTGCGTAATGAATTTGCAAGTCATGAAAGAATAGAGAGGTGAAACTCACTGTCAAACTCTATTTTCTGCTCTTCATAATCTCATTCCTGCTGACATTATTGTAGTAGCTCTAGCTCAGTAGCTCCATATTTATCTAGTCTAGGGGTGTCCAAACTCAGTCCTGGAGGGCTGAAGTTCAGCAAACCGGCCAGGAAGTTTCTAGTATGCCTAGTAAGAGGTTGATTAGCTGGTTCCGGTGTGTTTGATTAGGTTTGGAGCTAAACTCTCCAGGAAAGCGGCCCTCCAGGACCGAGGCTGCGTCTGAAACTGCCTACTACTCAGTAGGTACTGCATTTGAATTTAAACATACTACTCGGTTAGAAAAGTACGTTCTATACAGTATGAATGTTAAAAGTATGAATGAAATTTGGATGTACTACATCCGCCATACATCACGTGACCTAACTGCGTCAGTTTCACTCCCATTCTTGAATTCTCTCGCGGGACATCATAGGATAGCGCAGCGTGCATGGAATGCGCACTTTAGAATCTCGGCAGAAGTAGTAAGTCATCCGGGTATTTCTCGCATACTGATTTTCGAATTCTGTAAATTCAGACATACTACTCGGCTCGCCTACTGATTTTAGCATACTGTATAGTATAGAAGTACGCAGTTTCGGATGCAGCCCGAGTGTGGACACCCCTGATCTAGCCTCATCATCTTCTTTGAGTGAAAGTGAAACTAGGCTGGCTTAGAGTGTTTTGTGCTTGAGCGCCTGTAAGTGGTGTTTTCTGTAACTTCAGCAGCTCCAGGCACCAGTGCCTGCCTCCAGTGCCAATCTCATTGGTGGAGCAGCTTTTGACATTGCACATTCAAAAGAAAATGGCTGAGGCATTTTTATAATTATTTTAAATGATTGACAATTTTAACACTTGTCGTTTTGCATGTTGGTGTGCACACTGACACCCTTTGTTTAGTCATGAAGCATTGAGCATGAGCGAAAATCGTATTCACAAGCCATCAAGTTTTCAAGACTGAAAGTTGGCAAAGAGAAACAAGACCACTAAAGGAATCGCTTATAAAAGACAAATGCAATACAGCACAGAAGCAGTGGAGCTTTTATCATGCCACAGACGACCACTTCTGGTTCTTCAGGTCTGATCACATGGGGAAGAGGCAGCTGTTTTATCATACTAAATGCATTTTAGTGTTCTGTTATAATGCTGCTCTGTGCAGTCTAAAAAAATGCACAGCACATTTATGCGTTTTTGGTGTTTCTCTGTTTTCTATAAACAGAAATTTAAGGTGTGCAACATACTTATCATGGCAAGACAAGACATGGTGTATATCACTAGTTAAAACAGCTTATTTAACTGAATTTAAACATTCTTTAAGACATAGGGGAAGTTAGCGAAGCAAATAACACTGTTACACTCTTACATATTGTGCCTTTAAGGGTGACAGAGTGGCTCAGTGGTTAGCACTGTCACCTCACAGCAAGAAGGTCGCTGGCCACACACACTGTGGGTTGTGTGGGTTTTCTCCAGGTGCTCTGGTTTCCCCCATAGTCCAAACTCATTTGCTGTAGAGGAAGTGGATTTACTAAATTGGCCGTAGTGTATGAGTGTATGTGTGTGAATGTGAGTATATGAGTGTTTCCCAGTACTGGATTTTGGCCAAAAAGACTTCTGCTGCGTAAAACATATGCCGGAATAGTTGGCGGTTCATTCCGCTATAGCAACCCCTGAATAAGGGACTAAGCTGAAGGAAAATGAATGAATGAACGAATTGTGCCATTAAACATCTCTGACCTTGACTTTTCACTGTATTAAAGGCTCTTTAAAATGAAAAAGGTTTTTCTCCATTTATTTTATAAAGCACCAAGAAATAAATTGTTTAATGAGACATATTCACTGATGTTCTTATATGGCTGTAAAAACATTTTAGAACACTGTGAACATCGTGCATTGAGATGAATGCAGTTTACTACATATCCTCCTTGGACCCAAATAATTTTTTTCTTATTTTTTCTTTTTTTTGTGATTTCCTACATCCTTTGGGTTTAAAAAAATCTACAATTTAAATTCTACAACTACAATAGAGTTTTTACATTTTTGTTTTTATTTAAAATGTTACAGCATGTCCACTGTAGTGGACCACAGGACCCTTTTAGTTCCAAACGACTCCCAATCAGACAACATAACTGTACAGGATATGGCTGTAAAGGAATATTGATCCAATATTAATGTAACAAAAACGAAACAAAAGCCATTTTTTCCTTTTGTATTGAAATTCCTGAAAACGTTTAGTCTAAAGGAAAGCTGAACTCAAAAAAAAAGTTTTTTTTTCTCAAGCAATATTTGAGAAAATCTAGAAATTAATGTATAAAAATAAAATGTTTTATTAAACATAATTATAAAAGATAAGTAAAGCATAATGAAATAACAAAATCATCTTTATTTTAGAATTATTCTTTTTCTTCTTTTTCTTCTTCTTCTTCTTCTTCTTTTTCTTCTTCTTCTTCTTCTTCTTGTTATTATTCATTTAATAACAATACTTCTACTACTAATAATAATAATATAATAACAATTATTATTATTATTATTATTATTATTATTATTATTATTATTATTATTATACTAATAATAATTAGAATTATTATTAATATTATTGTTAGCATTACTATTATTATTTGTTAGTTTTTTTTATTAGTAGGAATAGTAGTAGTAGTTGTTGTTGTTGTTGTTTGTTTGTTTGTTGTTGTTGTTGTTGTAGAATGTAGAACAACTAAAAAGGTTTAATTATACAGTATAATGATACGTTTTTCATGTTAACCTAGCAGCCTGACACTGGAGTTGTTCCCTTGTCAGTCTATCACCCTCTGGAATTACACATTTCTCCCACTTTCATCCCTCTTGTTATTTCTTGTTTGATGCTGTTTACTTGTTTACAAACTGTCAGTGTCTCAATCCAGAGATAAAACGAGCCATTTCTACGCCTGTTATCTCGTAAACTTCACAGTATGTCTGCAAATATGAAGAAAGAAGAGTCTCTTGTACTCAGTTTCTACAAACAGCATTGCTTTTCGTAAGTTAGGCCTTGCTTGTCTGCTAAAGAAGTTGATTTCGCTTACCATGGAAAATCACATTTGTTTTTCATCCAGTTCTCGTTCTTTTGCATCACACTCACTTTCCCTTTCTCACTTGTGGCTGTTAAACAGGCATGAAATGAGCCAGGAGCTCTGATTTCACTCACCATCTGGCTGAGGTACGCTTAAAGTGTTTGATTTCTCACTCTGGCATGCGCTGTGATTAGTGTGTTTGGCTGGCCTTGCAGATGAGAGGATTGTTTCAGCCAGGGTATATGAAAAGTGCTGCGTTTCATCCATCTTTCTGACACTCACTTCATTCATGATGTCCTGCTTATGTTTTTGAACACGTGAATCAGGTTTTGTTCAAGAGTGTGTTTAGCATGAGGTTTATTGGATAACTGCATTTTCAATTAAGTGCCCAATTAATGAATGACAATTATCTTTATATTATTATTATTTTAGAGCTTAGTTTTTTATGTTTTGTTTTCTATTTATCTTTTTAGAGTTTTTTTCTCTGTTTGTTTTTTTTTTTGTATTGTTTTTTATTTTATTTAGCTTTTTGTTAATGCTTTGTGTTCTGTTTTGTTTTTGCAGCTTGGTGGTTGGTTAGTATGAGACTTTGGCTCAATCCCAATTAAATTTTTTTACTCGATACCCCTTCTCTTTCTCTTTCCTCTTCGCCTTTGAAATTGGAAATTTAGTGTGTTTTTTTTATCTTTTTTTGCAAAACAAGGGATAGGGGTAAGGTAAAGGGCCAATGGGTATAATTGGGATTGGGCCTCTGTTATCGATTAGAGCAGAGGTGGCCAACCCTGTTCCTGGAGAGCCACCTTCCTGCAAATTTCATTTGCAACCCATATAAAGCAAACCTGCCTGTAATTATCACGTGGTGTTCAGGTCCTAATTAATTGGTTCAGCTGTGTTTGATATGGGTAGCAACTGAAATCTGCAGAAAGGTGGCTCTCCAGGAACTGGGTTGGCCACCCCTGGATTAGAGTGTTTTCTGGAGCTGTTTACTGTTTGTTGTTGTTGTTTGTTTTTTTTGTTTGTTTGTTTGTTTGTTTGTTTGTTTGTTTGTTTACTTAACATTCTATTTTAAGGAAGTTTCCAATTATTGAATGATGATAGTTTTTTTTTTTATTTGTTGAGTTTATAATTATTTGTTCAAAATTTTTTTGTTTGTTGTTTTTTTTTTTTAATGAAATGTCCAATTAATGATAATTGTATTTTTTACATTTTGAGTACAGAGTTGAATTTTGTTTTTAATGTTTTGTCTTCTATTTTCTTGTTTAGCTTTTTAGAGTCTTTATTTGTTTTGTTTTGTTTTTTGTATTGTTTTTTTCAGATTTTTTTTTTTGTTTTTATTTTAAATTGCAATTTTTTCTTTATTCATTTTTTACTGTTTAGTTTTAGTTTTGTTTTGGCAACTTCAGATTTATTTAAATCACTGTATGATAGTGTATTATATGTTTATAGTGGCCAGAAATCCAAATGCTTACCAAACCTCTGTACACCTTTTATTTTCAATTAACCTATCAAGTTT